GTATGCTGGTGAGGCACTTGAAATGGAGGTAATTGTCTTTGGTGAGTTTGATCGTTCATTCTGATTGCTTTTGGTGTTGGAGCCTCTCCCCAAATCAATTTTCTGTTTTCGTCTATGTGGCACAAAAGTTTCATTTTCCATTTTACTCTCTGCTCTGCCACTCTCATGTTGATCCTCAATGGCATTTCCATCCAGAAAAATCTCCTCATTTTCACTACCGGAAGCATTTGCAGCACTGCTACTCGAGGCAATAACTTGAGCTTTCTCAGCTTTTACTGCCAAGATCCTCTCCACCTCTTCAATTACTTCATTGAGTTGCCTTGAAGCAAACTGGAATGCATCATCAGATTCAGCTGCTCTGGCAGATATATTGAGTATGCTATGACAAATATCTCTATATCGTCTTGCTACAACCAACTTAGGATGTTCTTGTATGATGAAATCACTATCCTCTTGTGCACATCCAATCCTCGCATCTTTTGTCCATCTCCTTAACATATATCGGGATGGGACCACCTTTATATTCCTATAATCAAGCACTCTCAATGCATGACTACAAAGAAATCCAACATATTCAAACTTCATACAACTGCAAATGACTGTATCATCTGAACAATCAAATGTAACAGTATATTCTTGACTTTTTCCAAAAGTATTAACTTTGTATTCAGATAAACATCCATTTTGACTACACTGATTAGCAACAACATTTAAACACTTTTCATACTCAAGCTGAAACACTTCAAATGCCTTTGGTGTATAGACTTCACTTGCATGCTTTAACAAAATCACATTCCCCATCAATTTTGGCTTGCAGTGGCTCATTACATCAGTAGCTTCAATTTCTTTGTAGCGTTGCTCATCTACCACCCTCTCAAAGTGCTTGAAAAATTGAAGCAAATCCTGGTCAGAGTTGAGATAACTTCTCAACTTGTTAGATAAACTCTCACCTAAATGTGAGTGTTTCATGTCAATAAAAAATGTATTCTTGCCGTACACCACAGCCCATTTCTCCCTTTCTCGATACATCCACCTCAGCCACTCGTTTTGCTTTAGGTTATAATTGTCCAGCATAGCCTCCCAAGCATGAATGAAGTCATCCTCATCCTTGTGATCATAAATGCAACTTCTAAAATCATTGGCAAAGGCTTTAGCATCCTTCAGTATGTTGCTAAGGTGTTTAAGGGCATTCTGGTGCATCTGCCATACACATATTCGGTGACTTGATTCTGGTAGGACTGAACTGATTGCTTCAACAACTGTTGTATCTTGATCAGTGAGAATGACCTTTGGCTTCTTCCCAGACATTGCTTCTAAAAATGTATGAAACAACCACTTAAGAGATTCAACAGTATCATCGTATAGAAGTGCTGCAGCAAAGATCACAACTTGATTATGATGGTTCAAACCTATAAACTGTACAAAAGGCTTATAGTCTTTGTTTGTTCGACATCTTGTGTCAAAAAGAACCACATCACCAAAATAATTGTAGTCCACAACCATATTATCATCAGCCCAAAATATGTTGCTTACCTTATCATTCATATCAAGCTGTATTGCATAAAAGAATGATGGATTTTCAAAGTGCTGCCTCTGAAAATAATGCAACAAACGACCTGCCTCTCCCTCCTCCATATCTCTCACCCTTTCAGAACTTAGGTGATTGTCATAATCAACATCAAGGCAATCAACAGATTCACGCACTAAAAATTTTTTACTCATCAAATCAAAGGCTGGGTTTTGTGCTTCTAAATTGTTGGGCTGATCAGCTTCAGAAGCTTGAGGAAAGCATAGTTCCTTCTGTAATTGTAATGTTCGTCCATTATTAGGATTTATATTGTCATGATTGTGGTTTGCTTCAAAATGACTAACCCGATATTTACCATTAGGTTGACGAGTAATGATCATATGTGCCAAGCAACCAGTTCTTGTTTCCTTTCGATGCTTCTTTACATTAACATCTCTTTGATCTTTCCGCCTATAACCTTCTTTGGAACATGTAAACTTTCTAGAAACCACCTGACCATGTATCTTACTCCTGTTTACCCAATCTTTCCGAACGCTAAAACCTAACATCCTAGCATATTTATTGTAAAATCTGTAGGCATGCTCATCAGATTCAAATTCTATTCCAACTCTTAGTACCCCATCTGCATTAGTTTCACTTGTTGACGGAAGACCGGAATGAGTTGCGTTGACATGGTTCACTTTTGGGCTGCAACAGTCCTGCTCTAAATTCAAGTCCAATTTGTCGGATGTTTGAGCTCTATTATCCCGGTCCTCATCATGAGGGCCACCCAAATCATCATCATCATCCCTATTCATTGACCTTCATTAAAAAGGAAGCATGAGTATCACTGTATCAGAAGAGGAAAAGAGGAGAAAACAACATTCTTTACACTGTGATAAACAAAAGAGAGCATAGTGAAACTAAATGCCTTGACATGAACAAGGCAGAAGAACAACAGAACTCCTACAGAACAAAGAGAAAAGTATGTTTATCAAACTATCTTGGCAAAATGTAAGCAAACTCTACAGTTTCTTTTTGAGCCACCAATAGGAGAAATTCAGTTTAAGCCATAAAAGCTTTTGGAAGCAATTATCAATTGAATAATATGAGTTGAACTTCAACATTACATTTATATTTATCAAAGAAAAGGAAATCTGCTCAAAAATTGCCAAAGTTCACTAATTGAAATTAAAGTCAGAAAAACATTTCTGAGTTTCCCAACTACAATCCGAACATGGTAACCAGGAAGAAAGAACTTCCTTAAATAGAAATTCAAGCCAAAAAAAAAAAAAACTAAATAAAAAAATTTCAAGTAACTGAATGAATTGACATTTTTCGTAGCTGAAATTGGGTAGATAAACAAATAACGCTTCTCTCGGGAAAAATTATAAAAAGAATAAGAAAAAGAAAACAAGTTAACCAGTAACAAACTGTGAAGCAAGGAGTCGCCACAGCCCTCCTTTCCCCTGAGTACCGGCGGGGTGTCCGTGATGGATAGAAAGAGGAATAATAGAAGACAAGGAAGGGCAGAGAAGAAAAACTGACCTGGGTGTCGCTGGGCTGTCGTCGTTTTTCACAGAGAGGAAATGTCGGGTTTGAAGAGAGAAACGAGGATAAGTCGGTCGCCTGAAGGGCACTGTGCAATAAGGATATTGGGTTTAGGTCTACACACTTTACTAATTTTTAGCCGGCCCAATTATATCTTTTAACTTTGGCTGGCTTGAGCCTCATTTCAATGCAAACAAACAGGTAAATTGTGCCAACCGCACCGGACACCCGTTCGGGTGAATATAGTGCAACACAAACGGCTTTTTTGCCACCGGCCAGTTTTGATTTAGTTTCAGTTTGGATTCACGGTATTTTCAGTGGTGTGATTAAATTTATTTTATTTTTAGCTAAATTTAAATATAAATTTTAGTGAAATTAAATTAGTATAAATTTTTTATTAAATTTTTTTTAATCATAGTTATAATAATTTTTTTTTATTGTAACTAAAATAATAATTATTATTAATTTTAATCTCTATGTAATCAATTTCATCACTTATTTAAATGGAACTTTAGTGGCTTACCGTTCATTTTATTTTCTATTTTGCTTTTTAAATGATATTGTAAATATAAAATATTTATATGATTTAATTTTTATTTAAAAATTATGAAATGATTTTTTTTTTAGTGTAATAAAAAAATTATTTGATTTTTTTTTAATTATTTATTAATAAAATTATTATTTAATATAAAAATAATTTAAAAAATTTTAATTATTTAACACTTTTATAAATATTAAATAATTAAAATTTTTTGTTATAATAATTTTTAATTTAATATTTTTTTCATTACAATTCATCTTTTTAGTACTGCAACTTTAATATTTAAATACATATCACATCATTTCTTTTAATCTTATTGTAACTATGTTACCTCTACTGCTATTTTTAAATTTATAGAAGCTAATCTTATCACATTCAAATGGCCTCTTAGCAAAAGCAAACCCTCTAAAAATGTCTTATTCCGAAACGAATTTCCGTTTTAGAAATAATGCTAATTGGAGTCAAAGAAAGATTCTAAAATTTTGAGAAATTGCGGGCCTCTTATGAAAAATTGCATTTGATAATGGGAAAAGGAGCATCCGCATGGCTCTTTAGTGCATAGATATGTTAGGAGAATAATCTTTCATTTTGCCATATAATATACCAGAGATTGCAAGAGTGGCTGCTGTTGTAGGTGAAGGTGACTGGCAATATCAAATGAGGAAATGAACTAGCTGATACCCCGAGAGCAATAAGTATCACCATGTGTGCTGCAGCAGGAAATGAAGATATGGTTCTTTGGATGGATTCAAACTCTGGACAATTCAAAGCTTTTGTGGCAATTTTAAGGGATAAAAGGCTAGATTTGATATCAACATTTAAATTATCTGTGATTGCATTAGCTAGCTCTTAGTCTGTCTGAGATGTTGGTGACAGGTTGAGAGTACAATCGACAGAGTAACCCAAATCCAGAGACACAGATTTTGTCCCATGATTTGAGTTGATGCTCCGTCGCAATGTGTTAAGCTTTAGGCTTCCTTTTGCTAATTTGAAAGAATTAGTTGTAGTTGTAGGCCTAGCAGGTTTTTCTTGCTTCTTTAGATAAATGGAAGGATTAACTTTGTGAAAAAAAGAAAAAACAAAAAGCAAAGGAAAATTGCTTCTCTTTGTTTTCCTTAATTAGAATGATATTCTTATTTCTTAATAATAAGTTCTTTGTGATCTCTATAGCATTGCTTGGTCACAGATGGGATACACATTATTAAAAAAAAACAAGATGATAAAACTCCAGCCTTATTTTTTAGCCACTTGCACCACTCTTGCATCACCATCTAGCACGAATTTGCATTTCTGCATATAGAGTCAAGAAATGTTATCTAATTATGAGAAATTTGAAGAAAAAAAATACAAGAAAAGAAAAAAAAATGAAAGAGGGGATTAAGGTAAACAGATAACTTACCATCAGTTTCCGCAATTGAGAGATGGCAGATTCACTTGAGAAGGAGTTGCGAGAAGCCATCCTGAGAGTGCTGCAGAGGCCGAGTCATGCTGCACAGACTGGAGTGCACCACAGCAGTCCGGGACTAGGATTGGTTTAGTTGGCACCAGGCACCACAAAAGGTGCGCACACATTCAGGTTGGTGAGCTCAATTGTGCAGCTCTGTGCCTTAGCCGTTTGGGTTTGCACTGCTGCTACAGCCAGCAACAGAAGTAGTGCTGCAGCTGCATGTTGCGAAATGAGAGATACCAGTGACTTGACAATTTCCATGACTAATTTTATCTTTTCTAAATCTTTGGCTAATTTTCTTTCTCAATTTCGTGCGTTATTCATTGGGATTTTAGACTATTTATAGTTGGATTTGGATGGTGAGAGTATCTAATGCATGAGTTACCAACCTTAAGTTTTTAGCACATCACAATTTTGTTGTGTTTACAATCAATGTTGTTAATTTTATTTTGATACCAATTTTTTTAGTCAGTACGTTTTTGTTATACAAAAACATGATACATGATTTTTCATATTAAATTTGGTACTAAATAAAGCTTATTATTTTCATTGATTTTGGTTAGTTTCAGTGAATTTTAATAAATTAACTTATTTTGACCGATACGCGAATATAATATATATTTTATTATTTTTAATTTATTTTTTATTATTTAATTATTTTTAACTTAATAAAAATAAGATTAATTAACATAATAACCTTTGAAACTTGGGTTTTCCTATTTTTTACTGTAATTCATTTTTTTTTATATTTTATTTTTTAATTTAAAATTCATAAATATTTCAATATCTGTTAAAAAAACAATCATATTCCTTCTCTAAAGTTTACTAAAAAAAAAATCAAGGTTATTTTTTTATCTTTTTATTTTATCTTAATATTTATATGAAAAAAATATTTATTTAAATATTATATTATTAGATTACATGTTTAAAAAATTATAATAAATTGATTATATTATTTTTTATACTTTTAAATTTATTTATTTGATCTTTAAAAATATTCGCATTTATTTTATAAATTATTAGTATTATTATTACATACAAATTTATGTATATTTATAAATATATTTATACTAAATTAAAAAAACCGAAATTATTTACGAAAATAATTTGTATCAACATATATCATTTAAAAAAATTAAAATATTATCTGGTAGAACATTAATAATCTTGTTCAAAACAGTTGAAGGATCACATTGCTCGTGGGTGTACAACTACGAAGTAAAGGATACAATTCTGACAAAAACAGAAAATTGGTGTGAAAATTTGAAAAAATAATTTGGCGAAAGCCGAAGGATAGATAACATAGCTCAAAACTTCAAATGAAGTAATCAACTTAATCGACTGTCAGAGTTGCTTAATGAGTCAGTTTGAGATGTGCATTTAATGGATTTGCATATATATGATATTAGCACCAAGATAATAGTTAAAAAAAAAAAACCATAGATGAAGTGACCATCAGCTATTTTTTACCATTAATGATCTCCTTACATCAGCAATTACCATAATGATCTATAAAATGCCATTTTATTAAAGTTATGTTTTAGCTTTGTTAATTAATTATTACAAATGATAAATATAACTCGAGACGCCCAAAAAAAATCCAAGTTAATATAGCATTACAGTTAAAATTTTGTAAATGAAAGAAACCAGAAGGGAAAAGGGAGGGAATTAAATTTAACCTGTAACAATGATTGCAGGCTGTTGATTAGCTCATATACACCTTTCCATGTTTAATGCTCATGGATTTAGCTTAATTGGTTGCCTTAGAGACATGAAAGAATCAGTGAATCAAAAAAAAAAAAAAATCAAAAAAATAGCTTTAAGAAATTGTAGATCCAGTTGCGTCAAAGGCGAGCACTGTCCATTATCCCTTCAGTGCAAACAGAAGCTTCTTCTTATTTAGAAGTGTTAAAGGGGTCTTTTTGTAAGGTGAGAAAGCATTGCAAATAAGTAGAATGGAATATGTAAGGAGATAGTGGAGAGGAACACTCGAGCAAACCTTGAAGTATTGATTACAATAACAGATGGTGGTTTCTATTGAAGTAAAGCTAAGTAGGAAAACGAATAAGACTAAAAAAAAATTTAGGAAGAGAGAATTTGCGAGAGTTGAGTGAACTTGTCAAAGTCTCTAAAAGTCTCTTAAATAAATTCTGAAAACTTCTATTTATAGGTTTTAAGAACAAGAGTTACATATATCGAGTATTGAATAGTAATAATAATAAAATTGATAGTTATAAAAGATGTTAATGTATTAAATGAGACTAATAACGAATAATGAGAGAATTGACTATTACAAAAAGTATTAATATATTGGTTAATGAGAGTTTAATTAGCTTTTTGGGTATAAGCATAGTAAACTTCTATGTTCACTATCTATTCTAAAAGAAAGGGAGAAACACTCATGCTTCAAAAAAAAGGTTAAAAGGAGACCTCTTAACTATCTTATTATCTAATCCACCAAGCCATACTCTTCGGAACATCCCAATAATGGCATTAACCCAATAACCCTGTCATACTCCAAGGTTATTTTCATTTCTTTATTCGGTAAAGCATTTTTTATAAAATAACTCTTAGTGAAGCAACTTTTGATAAAAGAGTTTTTGATAAAAATGTTGGTGTTGTTCCGTGAAGGAGTTATTCTTTCAATAGCTATTCTGTAAACAGTTGTTCCATGAATAATTATTCTGTAAAATAACTTTCATTGAAATAATCTTATCACATGTTCTGACTTATCTTCAACTTTAACAACTTTAGAAAAATATAAAAAATAAAATATTAATAACCAAAATCAAGTATCTACATTTTACTTCTTACATGAGAATTTTTAGTATAAAAAGTTCTCATGCACTAATACAATTTCCTTGAATAGTAAAAGTAAAATATAAGTTATATTTATTCTCATAATTTAAGGATGTATGATGTAAGTTTCATGAAAAGAAAAAAAGTATATATATTTTTTGTGACTGCATATGTGTGGATTTATTGCTACCTGCATGGAAATTGTTTGATATAAATCAATTAATGTTTCGTGGATAAAATAAGCAAATTTCATGGAAAAAATTATCTATTAGACAGGTGCATTTCCATAAAAAAATAAAAGAATTAAAAAAAATACGAATGAGAGTGTTTCCCTAAAAAAAAGGTAGAATTATCAAAAGGAATAAGTAATAAGAGTGGTTTCCTAAAGAAATAGAAGAAATATCAAAAGGAACACAACTAATGAAAGTGTTTCCATAAAAAATAGAATAATTATCAAAAGGAGCAAATTTTGGAATGTTTCCTTAGAAAATATGAGAATAAGTAATGGGAATGTTTTTCTTAAAAAATAGAAGAATAGTTAAAAGGAATAGATAATGGTAGTGTTTTCCTAACAAAAAAGGAAAATTATTAAAAAGAAAAGACTAATGAAAATGTGACGTAATGGTTTTAAGGACTGCTAGATGAAAATTTTTAAAATCTCAAAACAGGAGGAATCACCATCAATTTTTTTTGACTAAGTGCGATTAGTTATCTAAAATATTTATCTTTTTAATAAAATATTAAAGTTAATTAAAACTTATTAAAAAGATAATTTTTTGTCTACGAAAAACAAAATCGAGTTTAGGAGTATGGTTACACGTAGGGAAAGATTAGCATCTCCACAATGTTCGTTTTAAAAATGATACATATTAATCACGTGTTGTCTTTTAATCATGACAAAAGTGATTTTATTCTTTATATTTAAAAATAATTTTTTAAATTTTTTATTGAAAAAAAACATTTTTTTGTTTTTTATTTTTTTTAATATTTTGCTTGAAAAATAAATAAGAACATTGTATATAAAAAATTTTCAAAAAAATTCCAGTACTTTTAGCAATATTTAGAGGAACCTTCTCGCATAAGGATCTTTTAAGAATCACTACTCATATTTTTCAAAAATCTCATCCTCGACAGTTTTTATTTATCTTCAAAATTAATATTTAAAAAGTGTATAATAAAATAATACTTATAATTTATCTCGAATATATAAAAATTTATTTTTTTATTCAAAGATAAAACGAAAATATTTATTGAAAATTATTTTAAATGTTCCAATATTTTGGTGACATTTTAGAAAAATTTCTTACCTAGATACTCCTAAAGAATTACTACTTGAATTTCTTTAAAATTTCATCCTTGAAGATTTTCATTTATTTTTGAAATTGTTGTGTATACACAAATCAATTTTTAAGTAAAGTAAACCAAAATTTTGTATTGAAAATTATTCTAAATACTCCAATACTTTGATAATATTTTAAAAAATCTTTTTACCTAAAGATCTTTTGAGAATTACTACTTATGCTTCTCTAAAATCCCATCATTAGAAATTCACATTTATTTTATTCATATTAAAATATCATAACAATCCACTAATTAATTTATTTCTTAAAATTACTTTCACGAAGTAAAAATTGTTTTAACATGCATGCATACAAAAATGGGTAGATAAACGTGCATAATAAAATAGCCTAAAAGAATTAGTTATTATACCTTACTTTGCTTTAGTGTTGAGCCAAAAACAAAGATCTAGAAAATGGCTTGAAGTCAGGTTTGCTACCAATGGGCTAGGCCAAATTCGCGGGTCACAAACTAGGACAACAATGTTGGGCGTGGGTCAATCTTGGTTGGGTTGAGCTGAACTAACCCGAAAGCTTCTTCTTCTTTTTCTCTCTCTCTTTCTTTTTAACTTTATAAAACTAACTCTTTTTTTGTTTCAATTTTTTCTCTCATTAAATAAAAAAAAGTCTCCTTGAAGCAGCAAATAACCGATCCCTTCTTCATCCCAGCTCTAGATGGTTGATTGCTGCTCTGTCACCACATTGCCATCGGTTAGCACCTTTTGGCCTTCAAATTTTCACCATTTGCTCATTTTAATAACCTCATTACAGATTCGACCTGAGATTTTTTAGAATCAACCCTCATAATCCTAGATCTATCTTCAAAGTTACCTTTAAAATAACCTAAAACACCTACTTTCGCCACACTAAACGCCATGAGCTTCAACTATGTTGTCCCTTAAACCATGATCTACCTCTCCTCCAAAAATGGATTTTCAAATCTCCCTAAAACTCCTTAGACTAAAAACCTAAATACCACATATTCTTTTCTTTGTTTCACGCTAACTTCTTTTTGTTTTGTTTTGTTTTTTACTTTTGGCTTCCCTACGAGGAATTGATTTTCTTATTTTCTATATCTTGTTTTGCTATTTTTCTACTATAGCTGGGTTTCTTACTAAAATGATT